TGGTTTTATGAAATAAATATTATGATTTTATGAACTATATTTTTAAGTTACATTAAGAATATTTTTCATAGTAAAAAGCACTATTCTATATGTTTGGCGCCTCAGGATACTATAAATTATAGTGAAATTATGGTTATTTCAACTATATTTTTCTATCAGTGTAGGAACATTGAAAAACGCTGGTCGGCTCGCTATCGTCTCGCTCATCTCAGAGTGATTTGAAAATTAATTGTAAACTGACATAACACCGAACATAGGATGTGCATGCACCCGAGACGGGCGCACGCAGGTGCACTCTACTCGAGGGGGGGGAGGGAGGGGGGGATAGAGCAGCGAGACATGGGAGGAGTTCGCTGCGAGTGCTCTCTCCGTCTCGTCGGAGAGACCACTCTCGCGATGGCAGAGGTGGTCTCTGCTCACCTGAGCGTTTCAGGTGGCAGTCGCCCTGCTGAGTCGTTCAGCGACGGGTTCTCCTCGCGTGAGCGCCGCGAGCGAGCGCGATTCGCTAGAGAACGCACGACAACGATTCCGGAAGCTTGGGGACCCGCGAATTCGAGGCCGAGATTGAGATGTCTTGAGCGAATCCGCGCGTACTTGCGATCGCGGTTCAATTCGCTGACGATCACCCAAGTTCAGTCTCCGTAGACCGATGGAGCGTCCGTCGGATCTGTTTTTAGAAATGCAACTTTGGGCATAAGACGTTAGATCTAATGACTCAAATGGGGATAATAGGAGGGATCGGTAGGATCATTTCAGCAAGTACAGTTCGATTAACGAGATCGTTGTGAATTTGACTGGTTCAGGGATTAATTGTCAAAAATTGATGCTCCTGGAGGAGGATCTTCGAGGAGCGCAACCGATTGATTTCATATAATTATATTCATATATTCTCGTTATTCGCGACGTTAAAGCAAAAGGACCCTGTCGGTGAAGTTACGGATCTAACAATTTGCTAGTTGATTCAATAAGAAATCAGAAAAACTCTCAATCTTTATCGGACTCCCACGAGTATCGCGCAATCGACGCCGTTGTGAGTCGCGGAATATTTTACAAAGGACCATGTGACGTTGAAATATCAAGTAATCAAGCGGAGATTCGGTTAAGTGATAACTGATCGAATACGCCGCTCGCGAATCGGCAGAGTCGATCGAGATTCCAGAGGCGGGGTCCGCAGGGCGAAACAAGTGCACGTCCTCGAGTGATTTAGAGATCGAGGCTTAATTGCGGCGACCGAGGAGCCGGTAATCTGGGAGAGAAGGTCGGCGTCGATTAAACGGGACCGGGACGTCCTGACGGTCCCGCGGACGTCAACGTGCGCAAAGCATTCCCGAGAGAGGCGGCGCATAAATTTGTCGTGAAACCGACTCGTCCGACTGCATTCTGGCGAAATTATCGGGGTATCGCGTAATAACGAGCGACGCGGGGCCGCAAAAAGCGCTCGGCGGAGGCGCCGATCGCGGGCAGGAAACCTCAAGTCGGAGTTTATAGGATTGCAACCTGGAGAACGACCGGGCGAGGAAGAGAAGTGCGCGCATGTTGGTCAACGAAAGCGTCTTATTAGAGATGGATCTATGTGCGGGACGGGCGTGTGCTGATCGGGAGCTCTGTGAAACGCGAACAATGTCGTAAAAACGACGGCGGAGTAATTTATTTGACGAGAGTAGAGACTCGCCTCGCTGGATTTTCCGAGCTCTCTCCCTCTCTGACGCGGAAACAAATGATTTCGACGACACTTGTGTATGCTCGTGCAAATTAACGAGCGCGTGAAAGATATAACGCGAGAGGCGCATGGTCGTCCGAGTGTTGTTTTCCCAACTGACGTACGTACCAAAAAGTCATCTGCGGCTTTAGCGAAAATATAATAAAGCAGGACTTTTGTTACCGCGCGAGGAGGAGAATCGCCACATTTCGGAAATTTGCATCTCCACGAGTCCGATTCCAGGAGGAACTCGTCGGATTTTGGCAATCACTGGCCGGGGGTCGACGACCAGAAAGGAGATTAATTACTTCGCATAAGATTAAGCAAAATTTGCTATTCCGAGTTGGCCCAACCTGCCGAATATCGAGCTAATTTTAACGGTGAATTATAAAAAGCGAGATCGAAAAAAAAAAGGAATCGCGGCCAGTCGTAAATCTTACGATGACAATGTGACAGCCAACACCGTTATCGCCTGATAAATGCCAATAATTATATGGCCATAAGTCAGCGCCGTACAACAGAGTCAACAAATGTCACTTGTAAATGCGAATCGATCGATCGCGCGTTAACGAGAGCTCGCGCGCGAATCGTATCGAGGAGGGATTCCCAAATCGAGCGGGATTCCGTTACCAACGGTATTCATTAAAATTATAATTATTCATTAACCGGGCGTTACTTTGCGCGGCAAAAAATAACGCCGTAAACGACCGGGGCTTGGGCGAGAAAAGGATAAGGATTTTCTCGCATAAATTTACGCATGAGCGACGCGTGAGCGCGAGGAAAAAAAAGGGGGGGGGGGAAACGTCCGAAGATTTCCAGAGCTCCGCGAATTTTCACCAGAAGATGGTTTTGCGTGAAAGCTGACGGCGGACGGTGGAATGGACAACGACAATTCGACTGAAGAGCAGTCGTCAAGAACTTTCGACGTTTTGCGAAGGTAATCTTTCCCACGTGCCGTAAAGTCGCATGCAAATGAAGTAGCCAAGGACTCTCGACGGGGAGTGCGTATTTCCGCGAGTGTCTCGCGCGATCATTGATCACAAACAAGTGGAGCATGATGGGAGAGGTGATTCGCGTTTCTGGGAGGGCACCGGACGTCGGTGACATCCTGAAGGAGGCCATGTTGTCGCAGAGGTTCGCCGATGTGGCCCTGTGCTGTCCGGGAGGCCAGCGGTTCCTCGCGCATCGCCTGGTTCTGTCAGCGGCCAGTCCTTATCTTCAGGTCGGTATAAGACTACTGTCAATTAATTTATAACATTGTGTAATGTGACTGATAGCAATTTATTGTGGTTGACAGTAATTGATAATTAGATATTCATTGCAGAAATTATGAGAATTAATTTATCCAAACCGATCGGGAGCTCGATAAAATAAGATATGGTGGAAAGTCCTCTATTCTGTGATTGGATTCTAATATGAGATAGCAGATTTTCAAATTCAATCACACACGTTTCTTTGCAACGATTACACGATCTAACAATCAATTTTTTTAAATTTGTGTCATGGTAACGTGTGTTTTTACTGAACTGATTGATTATTTATTGATTAAATCAATTTGAAAAATTCAATCATGTGGACTATGTCTTGTGTGCGCTTATACTGCATTATCAATAACAAAATATAAAAACTGAGTGATATTCCCACAGTTGACTTTGAAAACAGCTTGGAGATAACAGAAAGAGTTAACTGTAAAATATAATTGTATCGCCGTGGATTTATATGTGACTTATAGAAAGTTTCGCAACGTGGCGTTTGCCAAGTGCGTTCATTGCCTTTGAGAGAAGCTCCTATATTACTCGTAATAAAGAGAAGCACAGCGAGAGAAAATATGGTTCGCGTTTGCCGTTTAATTAGCGAGTTAGTTACAGGATAACAAACGGGGAGCTGTTAATCCTGCACTTGAATGCAATGCGTGACGGAACGTTTCGCGTTCGCCCATATTGCCGGCTCGTAGCCGAGCGGCGCGGCATGGCGCGAAACCACCGTCGCGATATAAACCGATTGTGTGCGCGCCGCTGACGAGCGTTTAATGCCGCCGAATTATGTCACACGGAAATAAAGATAATGCGATATCGCGCAACTCGCGCTCGAGGTTTCGCGAAACCGCGCCGACGCGACGCGACGCGACGCGTTACGGCGCGCGTTGCGAACTCGCCGGGTTGCGCGATTGTTAAACTATTGCGCCAGCAGATTGGTGCATGAGCGCAAAATTAACGAGTCGGATGCGAGCATAATAGGCCCGACGATGCTCGTGTGCAGCAGGACATGCATTCTTAATATCCTCTTGCTGCATCCCTCGAGAATCGATTATATCTTCGAGAGCTCTTCTATTTCGAGTCGACGAACCCTTAGGCAAATTTACTGTGAAAGCAAAGTTTTTTTAAAAGTAATCTTCCAAATCTAAGAGTTTACTTGAACAAGTTAAAAGTTTACTTGAGAAATTTTAGACACTTAAATTTATGCCGAAACAGAATCATGGGTTCATGAGTCTGTGATAGCAAATTCATATCATATCTAAAATTGTTACAAGTCGTGACTAAAATAAATATCATTTTTGCCAGTTTGGTCGATTTAAAAAAAAATTCCCCTTGGTTGATTACCACTGGTGACAAAAAGCTACTGAAATTCTTAAAGTTTTCTTTCAAGTTCTTAAAGTAAGTTTCAAGTTTACCTTAAATCAAAGTGTCGAAATTTATTTTTCATATTTCTTATTTTTCTAAAGTACAATTTTAAGGTCTTCTAAAGTATATTTTCCCTGAGGGAGAACACGGTCTCTGTCCCGTCTTGATTAAAGAGGACTCGATTACGATAAATTGGGGAAATAAAAGCTGCAAAAGCGAAGTGTTTGTCGTTTATCGGAATTCTTTTGGAAACTTTGTTCTTTCCCTTTAATTTCTACCGCCACTGCGCCGCCTTCGGCTACTATCGTGTAATTATTGGTCTTGCGTATCCTCCTGTATCTAATTTCTTGCGCGTGTAAACTTACTTTATTACACGTTGCCGTTGTGCTCATTCGGTTAAACGAGGATTCAATTATAATACATTGGAAAACTGAGATTGTCGGTTATTTGTCCGAATTCTCTTGGAACTTTGCTCTTTTTCCTTAATTTTCAACGCCACTTGATCGCGTTGTTATTGCGCAATTATTGGTCGTTATATCTTCTTACACCTAATCTCTCTGGCGCGTTTAAACTTACGTTATTTTACGCTTCACTGTGTTCGTTCGGTTAAACGACAATTCACCTGGTAATGCATTGAACACCCAGAACTGTAACAAATAAAATTGTCTATTATTTACCCGACTTCTTTCGAAACCTTATACCCACAAAGTCTCTTTAATCTGAACGTCACTGGATTCCGTTATCACCACGAGCCATTATTAGTCGTTATATGTTTTTATACCTGATCTCCTCCGTACTTACTTTATTTTACGCCCCGTTGTTTTTATCACATAAAACGCTTAAGTGCAGTTTTACGTGAGTAGAATCTTGTTGCGAAAGGAAAACCTAGGAAATAAATCCCGATGCACTCCAACGTACAACGTAATTACAAAGTAATGTCGCGTCAGCGACGTGAAAATTGTCAATTATGCGTCGCTGCCGCGATTCGTGCCGTGAATTGCGCTTTCTAAACTCCAGCAGGCGGAATGCCGAAAAGAAAAATCTCCCGCACTTCCTTGCAAATGGAAATTCGTTAAACGAATTCAGTCCGCTGCCTTATTCGCGTCTCGCTTTATTCGACGAAAATCCTTGGCTTTCCTGGACGGGCATTTAATCGCGGGACGTAACGCGTGTATCTCACTCAATTTTTACGTCACTTCCAATGTTTTACCTAATTTTTTTTAAAATGCAGATAGCACGCCGATTGCTCTGCGGACTGAATTAAAAGCAGCATTGCGTTCGTGCTGCGTTAGAAAGCATCGTTCTTTCTTTACGTCTCGCGCCAGAGAAGAAAAAAAAAAGGAAGAGGAAGAAAACGATGTGTCCGCAAAAGGTTTTACTCTCTTGTCGCAACAAATATGGCAACCTTGACTTCAATGTTGGCAGATACCCAGATCTCCGCTGCCGTAAAGCTTCGCACGACGCATTTCTACGGCACTAGGCAACCCTTTTGCGGTTCTTAGAACGTACCGGAGCGTCCGTGCACCGCATCTTTCCGGTACTGCCATTCGCGGATTCCCGAGTCCCGGCATCTCGATTTATTACCGTTTGACCCAGTACCTGTTTGCTCCACGCGAGATGCCCACTTTTTGTTGTGCTCCTTCGTGCGTCGCGTGGCGTGAAAAGAAAGAAAGAAAGAACTGAATTCCCCGCGCGTCATTACTATTTCCTGAAAAACCACGCGGAAGAAATAACATCGATAGTCTAAATATTTAAAAAATTTTGTACCTCAACTTTTTTTCGAAATTATACAATTTTTACGATAACTTTAATCACATTTTTTAACTAATCGAAAACGTTATTAACAAATACAAAAGAGGTGATCTTTCATATTTTTTACGAAACATTAAAAAAAATTGATCTATTACATTAGAGAAAATTTCTTTTACATACAGCCTGTTTCTCTCTCATACATCTTAAATTATATATTTTGTTTACGATTAAAATATTTTTTTTTAAGTACAATTGTAGCCTTCTTTTACATAGAAAATTATTATGAAATACAGTTGTTCCTCGTTTTAGGCGAAGTATTCATTGCACATAAGTTTTTCGAGAATCGCACAAATGAAGTCCGTTAGTACAATAACAGTACGTAAGAAAAGAGTCCGCGTGTATGTTGTAAAAATATTTATTTCACTTATGTGCACAAAGTGATAATAATAGAAATTCAGAAAAACCAATTTAAATGTTATATGTTGTCGCTGTCGCATTTTTTTTAACAATTCGAAGCTATCCTCGTAACTAGAAATATCTGGTATGCTTAATTTATTATCAGCGTCTGTTAAAAATATATTTTCTGGCCGTAAAATAAGGTCGCGTAAAACTGAAGACGCCATATATAAAAAATATTCGCGTATGCAACGCTCTTGTTTACTATGTAAAGAAAACCTCGCGTATAAGTTGTTAACCGAGGAATTAGCGTATTTCTCTTTTATCAAACAATGTTGCATTGTTCAAGAGGCCAAAAGATACAAGTGTGTAGTTGTAAAAAGATTAGCGTATGCATTTAGTGCAATTTCTGATTTGTTTACTACTCGAAGCAGGTTTCTCATTAACGCACGTCTTACGTTCACGACGCTAGTTAGCCGGCTAATGGGAACCATAAAGGATCGATATCCGGTTTTGTGGCAGTTTAATCTAATAACGTTTCCGAATGAAATGTTTCGCTACGAATAGATACTGACGGCAACAGAAACGAATAAACAAATGCGAGTTGTTAAATGTCTATGATTCAGCCGCGCTCTCGTAATAAGCTCCTTATTGCAAAATAAATAGCGTGATTTACGAGGGACACGCTATATGTATAAAGCGTCATCTCGGAAACTAAAAAATTCACATGTGATTCAAGCCCGAATGACTTGATTAACACATGTACTCGACCGCGCATGTATATGTACATGAATGTATATACAGGGTGTCGGATTCGATTTGGACCATTCCAAAGATTATAGTAGATTGGGTCAAACTGAGAAGAAAAGTTATATACCATTTTACAAAATCCGTAATTATTATCGCGTAATTAAGAAAAACGTCTGAGCCAATAAGTGCACGGAGGAGCGGAAGGCCGGACTCGGCAGACATGCAAAATGGTGTATTTGTTGACATCTCTCAAGATCCGATAGCGAGAGGTGGACATATGGCACCGCGCCGAAAAAGTTTTTCTGGTGGTAGGAGAATAATACACCATTTTGCATGTCTGCCGAGTCCGGCCTTCAGCTCCTCCGTGCACTTATTGGCTCAGACGTTTTTCTTCATTACGCGATAATAATTACGGATTTTGTAAAATGTTATATAACTTTTCTTCTCAGTTTGACCCAATCTACTATAATCTTTGGAGTGGTCCAAATCGAATCCGACACCCTGTATAATAATTCTTTAATTTAAAACTAAAGATGTCAGGCGCCTAGTCGCGAAATAAATTAATAAAGTTTTATCATAAATTACTTTAATTTTATGAAAGAAGAGAGAGATTATAGAATTGTAGAAATGTTGAACAGATTCATCGTTACGAAACATGTTGCGCGATTTGTGGACATGATTGCGCTACCTGCTTTTACATCTG